AACCTGGCTAGCATAACCTCCGCTGCACGATACTTCCTATATTCTTCGCTAACAGGTGACAACCAGTGCTCCTGAAACATCACGTCTACGTGATCTGGACTACCGCACCAAGCGTGTTGCCCTAGGCGAGCTCCCAGAGTTGGCTGCCGATCTCCGCCACCACAATGATGGCCAACCTGGGATATACGATGAGTTTCTGGGAATTTTGCAAGGGATGGTGGGAGATGTCATGGCTGAAGAAGCATGGTTGTGCTCACATGAGTCACTTCATCAGTGTTGGAGACCTACACGAAAGGGCTCCCGAGAAGTGCTCTGCAACAGTAAAGAACCCCAGCCCCATCCCCAGTCTGGATTGGCTTCGCCTTCAATTCCTGCCAAAGTCTTCCTGTTCAGAAGATCCCGAAGTCTGAACCAACGTGTCACATGCATGAGTGTGCTGTACTGCTACGCATCTGCTTGTATTCATGGTTGCCGCGATGATTGTTTGTAGACCTGAGCGGTCACGTGCTCCTGTCCATTTCCCGTGAGTTCCCGGATGCACCGCAGCTTGCGCTACGCTGTGCTGCGCTGCTTTTGTTTAGTTCCTGGTTGTTGGACTTTAGAGACTAGTTAGTGTGAGCAGTTGCTTTCGGAGTTTATGTAGAAAGTTCAAGGTTGTTGTTCCTCCGAATCGTTTTCCGTTGTGCACGAATGTGGAATATATCACTGTGTGAGTGTGCGCTCCCTTTCGTGAGCTTTTCTCAGTAACACTTGCCGAGCAGCAACCGCTCTACGCTACAATGGCAAGTTGGGCATTTGCTTATCAGAGATCTCCCTATGATGAACTCTCCTTATTTGGCAAAATGCAAGAAGAAATCTCAAATCCTGATGGGCACCCTGGACTATCAGGACAGGGATAGGGAAAAATCTGAAGAAAAATCAACAGTAACCACTAGTAATCGAGCCAGGTAACTGCCATATGAAGAGCTGCGATAACAGTACACAAAACTGACAGGCTACTGAGACATTCAATGACCTGAGACCTAGCTCTAACACATCTCCAGTGCGCAAACCTTGAACCTTCCAGCTTGGAAGGTTCAAGGTTATGGTAGGACCTATTCGTTTTGTGCCCTGTTATCGCACTTTCTGACTGCTTATTATCCTGTTACAGTCGTGGATAGTTGCTTCCGGCATATCTCATTCCCATGTGATTTCTTCTATTTTTATTATATTGACTGGCTCAGTATCTGAGTTAAATTGGTGATTTATATCAATTGTGACTTCGAGGTTCAAGAATTAGCAAGGGGAAGTATCCTCCAACATTTCTATTTTTACGTACCGTATTTTCTCTAATAAGAGCCCGGGGTTCTTATTTTTTCAGTGACAGCTCTACTATTAGAGACTGTGCTATTATTGGAGACTGTGCTTTTATTTTTTCAATGCTCCACTATCAAGCCAACTCCAGTCTATATAGGCACAAACTGACCATATCAAGACTGATTTTTCAACCCTAAAACTCAGGAATATTGTCAAAACAGATATTTCACAATAGCATCGGCGCCAGGAAGGAAGCAGTAGACCGACAACCTCCTTACAAATATGTTCTTGGCATGTTGTACTGCTGTTTTATATGCAGTCAATATACTTGTTGCATACTCCAATTGTGACCCGCGCTACTATTAAAGACTGTGGTCTTATTATTTCAAAGTTGAAACCACCCTCACCCCGGGTCATTACTGGAGTGACTGGGCTATTATTGGAGACCTGGGCTTTTATTAGAGAGAATACGGTACATGCATTTTCACCCTTGAGATTCCCGTGATAGCTAGGCATCTATTTGCCTTCGGAAAATCAATAAAATAAAATGAAATAAATGAAAAAAGTCTGAAGAAAGAGTTGACTGTTACCACCATACCTGGAGCCGGGTACGTGCCATCGCAAGCTAGAGCCGGTAGAGGCAAGCATGCGGGAAAGATAACTATCATCTCGTACGCGTTTGACTACATCGATTATAGACTTACTCCACATTCAATTTACTGGCGAGTAAAGTTCACCCTCATGAACTACCTGTGCTACAAACACTGTGCTGTGTACTCTACCATTGCAATGCATTTTTCTTGGCAGCATACATCACTGACCAGAACTATGAATCCTAATGTTGCATGCAGAGCTTCTTACCCTCAGATGGTCCTTGATCTTTGATTGTGGTGATGTCCTGTGGCTTGAAGGGGGAGCATGCTGCCATCAGCAATGTTGCTCAACGCTTTTCCTCGGCCCAATCTAGTCAAAGGAGGCAATCACTGAACCAGTCCCGGCTCACCTTTAGTGAAGCAATCATAACTCCGGTTATGCTTTTCTCTAGCATCGATATATTCTTTCACTCAGTATGTCCGGACACGGCTCAGTTAATCCATACCACCACATCGCTACCATCGATGATCATGACGATGGTGGTGACGGCGACGATGACGATGATTTTCGTGGTTGCACGTCTACATTATGCCAAGATTGAGTTGGGCAAGAGACTGGTAGAGCTGTGTTGGCTTGGTGCTGCTGGCCGATGATTGAACAGCAGTTGCACTTTGCTGCTCTATTTTCACTTTGTGTTTCTACTAAACTTTGCTTTACCTGAACTTTGTGTCCTGATTGGTATTAATTATGGGTTGCGACAATTTCTTCTTTTGCACTTTCATGCATCAATGATGTTGCCCGTGCAAGAGGCTTATGATGACGATGACGGTGTAAACATTTACTGCTAGTATTCAGGAATTGCTGCTATTTCGCTGGAAGAGCCTCGGAGTATACTATGTATGTGGCACTCACGCGCACCAGTAGGAAACTTGGAGAGATGGCTCAATCCAACTTCCAAATGTCGGCGTCCTTGTGAGCAGCGACCAGGTAAGTACACGTCACCAGTCCTGTATCTATTGTAACGTTACGAGTAGCACTCGCGGCTACTCGGAGGAGCCGGCGAATTCCGACAAGCAAAGACTTTAAGCACAATTACAGTTACATCGTATCGGTATTGCCGGAGCCGGTGGACTGCCGGTGGAGTTCTTCTTCCTAAAAGGGTAAACGAGTTGACAAATAGCACTTTCGCCTTCGTCCAGAAATAATCAAGTGTGGTAAACTACATACCGGTAATAATAATTATTATTATTACTTGTAAAATGGCAATAAATAAGATAAATTGTGCACTCATAACAACAGCAAAAATGAAGAAAGTCAAGTTCCATAACGTTTTCTTGTGACTGTCATCAGTACACCGAACTCCAGGCATTGTTTGATGAGTGCACAATTTATCTTATTAATTTTATTGCCATTTTACGACTATTGTCTCCTCGTCGATTGTTTAAATTATTACTTGTCGCAAAGGATTTGTTTCAATTCCAGTATGCATCTCTGTAAGTTTGTATCCCTGGTGATGGTTTGGCCTGGAGAGCAGTATATAAGTGGTGCTTTTCAGGCACAATCTTCCTCAGCCTACTCAAGCTCAACTGATGAGGGGTGAATTCCCCGAAACACTGTGTATTGAGCAGGGAGTGGTGCTTTCTTTCAGGTTTGCCGAGCGGAAGGTGCGACGTGCTCCTGGTGTGCTCCGGATGGCAGTCGTGAGTCAGTCAAGTGTCAAGTTCGGCAAGAAGCGTGTGCTCCTCGTTGGAGCAACCAACTTCATTCCAGTATGCATACCGTAAAATTCCGTAGCCCACGCTAAATAACGCCCATGTCCGATAATAAGCCCAGTTTTAGGCGGTGTAGATCTACACTTCAAGTCCGTTTTAGCGCCCATGCCCGAAATAAGCCCAGGGCGTGAAGTGGACTCAAAATGACCAGCGTGCGTTTGCGTACGTTTTCAGCCATGCCGCCTTTGCCGGTACCGGTTGTGCCTTGTACTTACCATCAAGAGTCCATAACCCCCCGGGGGTTATGGACTCTTGTTACCATGCATAGCAAGTGGTTTACCTATCAAATCTGTAATTTATTTATCGCTACATTCTTGGTTTAATACGACCAAATAATAATTATTAATTCCAGCCGTGGTTTGATGTACATGTACATGTACATGTACCGCGCTCTGTGTGAATGGTGGTTCACTGAAACTAGTGGGCTGCTGATAGATTGATCTTCTGCAGATTGCGTCCGAAATAACGCCCATGCCCTAAAATAAGCCCATGCCCAAATATACGCCCGGTTTTTGACACTCTGCAAAGCAGGGAGTCGTCAAATACCATTTTGACGACTCCCTGCTGCAAAGTATACGCCCCGGGCTTGTTAACTGAATTTTACGATAATTATGCAGCAATCACTACAAAAAAATGCTATGGGGATCCTGGACCGTACCGGTGGCGGGGGCCGGGGGGGGGGTCCCACCTACAACCTTATAAAAAGTAAAAGAGCGATGCGTGTACTGTACTGTATACATGTAATAATAATGGTCATGCCACTGCTCCTTCTAGTACATGAGTCATGACCATGAATTTTCAAAGTTTCAGAAATCTCAATTACCCATAATGAACTCTCCTTAGTTTCGACAATTTCTTAATCTCTAATCCTGATCATCGTCAAGGTGTGTTAGGACATCGATAGGAGAAACACATACACGCACACACGCACGCACACATACACGCACACACACACGGCTCGCACACACGACACACACACACACACACACACACACACACACACACACCACCACCACACACACGCACGCACTCTCTATTTCTCTCTCTCTCTCTCTCTCTCTCTCTCTCTCTCTCTCTCTCTCTCTCTCTCTCTCTCTCTCTCTCTCTCTCTCTCTCTCTCTCTCTCTCTCTCTCTCTCTCTCTCTCTGTTGCACAGAAACACGCCGGTTCACGTTGAATCTCAACCAGCAATGGTATAAGTAGCAACCTCAGATGCAGTTTCATACTGTGTGATAACTCACTATGGAAATTATTTGTGTTTTCCAGTGCCTGTATTGCCGACTTATTAAGGCACAACTTTTTAACTAGAATAGCTACACACAAGTCACAGAGCTAGAGTCATGGCCACGCATCATTCCCTTGTTACTAATAGCTTCATGCGGCCCATAGGCATAGGCATAGGCATAGGCATAGGCATAGGCATAGGCATAGGCATAGGCATAGGCAATCATCAGACAACTGATAACTAGAATAGGTACATAGAACTAGAATACTAGCTACATGTTGAATTTAAACATGCTGAAAATATAGATGCAGCAAGCCGAGAAGGAGAGAGAAAGAGAAATGCTTGCAATAAGGCCGTTCGGATGTGTTCTTTCTGCTGCCCTGAACCATGTAAAGACACCAGGATTGAGCACCTCGCCAGGCACAGCAGTTGCAGTAAAAGTGAAACAAAAAATGGGCCAGAATTGTTGTGGAACCCACGTTCGACCACCCAGCACTAACGCAACACTTCGGATTAGGAAACGAGTTATATTTACAAGTGAGTTGGGAAAGACATAGAACCAGACTGAAGTACACTGAACTAAAGATCAACTGAACTACAGAAAGACGGGCGTGCAATATAAGAAAGAAGTCCAGCTACAGCGTTAGCTGACAAACTAAGAAACTGAAAGGCAGCAAAGACAATGGAAGGTACGCATCATTAAATAGTCCCATTGTCATGCAACATGAATGCAATCATGTAGCAGTAAAGCTACACCGAATCAAACCATTCATGCAACACGGTTGGTCATTCAGACCGCGGACCAGTCGTACCCTTCCGGCGACATGACACAGCCAAGCAAGGTCACTGTGACCAGACAGCGGATGCACAGTTAGACAGCGGCAGCACAGTTAGACAGCGGCTAGCCCTAATTAGACAGCGGATGCACAGTTAGACAGCGGATGCACAGTTAGACAGCGGATGCACAGTTAGACAGCGGATGCACAGTTAGACAGCGGCTAGCCCTAATTGGGCCTAAAGCAAGAAGTGAACTGTGCGTGGCTAGACACATGCACGACATGTGCGGTGTACACACCAACCGGAGGCGCGTGCATGGGTGAGCATGTACACTGCATGCATAGCAACATACATAGTGAAACAAGAGTCATACGGCACCTAACATAGCAGTTCATAACAGAATCCAAATGTTTCTATCGTAAATTTTGAATTGGCATTGCCAACATGGGATAAAAAACTGACGTCTACGGAATCTAACTTGCACCTAAAATAATAATAACTCTTTGCAGATATGCTAAGCGTGGCCCAGTGAATGAACATGTGGCACCACCCACCAACCAGTGCACAAAGTGCACACACACACACACACACACACACACACACACACACACACACACACACACACACACACACACACACACACACACACACACACACACTCACAGGTGATGTCGAGCAAACATCCTGGACGTGATCCGTGCTTGTGAAGACACACCGGAAGCTGACTAGTCCTGGAGCCATGGATTGCGCATGGAATGGAGTGACCGCCACAGCACACCTTCAGCACCGGGCATTGAGAGTATTGATTGGCCATGGCTCACCCATGCAGTGCTCATGGCTCACCCTGCAGTGCTCATGGCTCATGGAGAGGTGTGACTGGCCACTGAGTAGGACTCACTGGATGAAATACCAACGACAAAAGCTACACTGCTCACAGCCCAGTGTACATTGCCCAAAGTCCTCTTCTCGTTGGCTCAGTCTCTCCTCGGAGTAGCAGTCACACGGGCCATCATGTTTTGCAGGTTTGAGGCAAGGATGTGTGCAGCGACAGTGTCCATCGCACAGCTTCCATGCTGACAGGAACGCCTCCATTTCTCGGCGGCACACTTGCTCCAGACGCTGAGGATGGTGACACTCCTGAAGATGATGCAACACAACACTCTTCACAGCCCTGCACTTGGTTTGTAGCATTTGACGGAGAATGCTGAGCACGCCGTTCTTCAGGTGCCGTTTGAGTATCCGACAGCGCTGAATACAGCCATGCGTATGTACCACAGCCATGGCCAACTCGTGCAGTAGTTGTCGCTGATCTTCATCGTGCCGTGCATCTTGCACGGGAGCCAGGGGAATATTAGGATACTGGCTGAGGAGACTAGACTCTTCCGGGCATGTCAGCATGGTGCGCTGCTTGTTGATATTGATGTAGAGCGGCTGTACTGCTGGTGTACCTGTGGAGCTGGAGTGGTCCGAGAGAACTGTCTTTATCTGCTCGCACAACGCTGCTGTTTGATGGCCAATCATGGTGTGGACATGAACATCATCATACTGTCCAGCAGCAATGGCAGAGAGGAACAGCTGTTGGAGTTCAAGGAAACAGCAGCCTGTCGAATAGAAACCAACTTGACCAGTCCTCAGATTGCAGGCAATTTCCTCAGCAATGAGATTGAGCCGCTGAAATACCTGAGCTCCACCTGCTTTGGTCTCAGGCAACAGATATGCAAGCTGACTGAATGATGCGCGTACTACGCCTTCCACCGTAACTGTGTCCGACTGCCTCAGCCCACTAGTCTCACTGACTCCACGCGCAGGAGTGGCGTCAGCCTCGCCACTGGATGCATTGATGAGAAGAAGCTTGCCGCTGAAGAGTGGCTCGTCAAGCTGCTTCAGGTTTGGGCAATGATGCTGGCCATCACCATCACCATCAGCACCGGCTGCATCGCCACGCAACCCTTGCATTGCAGCATGCAACACACTAGTGAAAGCACACAGCATTTGATCCATTTCTGCCGACACAAGCACAAACAGATTGCTCAGGCCAACGGCGGCGAGAAGGAGCGGTTCATACGCAGGTTTCCATTCGGTATACGCCTCTTTTAGGTTGACACCATGGAAGCACAGGATCACATACAAGCAGTTGGGCAGTGTCTTGACGCAGACAACAAGACGACTCGCCCCATCATCTGTGGAGCGGTATAGCATGCTGGGCGATATGGCTGTTCCAAATGTCCGATTAAGGATTCGGTAGCTTTCAGTCTCATCGTCAGCCATGCAGCAGATAACGCGAACGGGCTTCTTCCACGAGAGCAGCACATGGCTGAGTGGGTTTGCTTGGTCAATTCTTCTGTACTGCTCGAATAGAGTAGGCTGGCTGCCGGTCTGCCATGTCTTTAGGTATTCTCCTTGCTGAATGGGATCTGATGAATAGATGCTGAGCATTGGCATCTGCTCACTTCCTTCAGCCTCTTCATCCTCTGGCTTTTCAATAATTCCCTGCTCCAGACAAGTATTCAGAGCTGGCCCAGGCAAGAGCTTTTTTGGCCGTTTCGTGCCCGTTGCACCTGTGCGTTCAGTGATGCTTTGGGAGCGTGTGGGAGTCGCCCCTTTTCCTGACGCGGAGCTGGCCAGGCCAGTACCCTCTTTGCTGCCCGTTGGCGTGACGGGAGTCTTTGGGAGGTCCGCAACTTGATCTGTGCCAGTAACACTTGAAGATCGGTGCAATCTTGGTGCGGTGCTGCTAGCTTCAGGTAATGAATGCTGCATGCTGCCAGGTGTTGCCGATGCACTTGCTTTACGTGTCGCCGGGTCAGGTTCAACCGGGAACTCCATCTTCATGGTGATGTCGCCAGTCTGTAGATGCTTGCGGCGTGTGCGTTGTTCTCGCCGATGCCCATAGCCACGTTGTTTCTTGGTGTGACTGCTTTCCATCATTGTGATGCATGTCACACCAATCAAGTTTGTGGCATACTCGTTAAGAAACACATCCTGTCCATCCTGCTCACCGAGGAACGCATCTATCGGGTCCAGAGTAAAGATGGAGGAGGTGGTGATGCGCTGGTCTTCTACAACCGGACATCTTGCTGCACCGCCTCTGCCTGTGCTCTTCCTTTTCCAGCCCAGTTTCTGTGGAGGTTGAGGATACTCTTGGTAAGGATTCTGGTTGTGCAGGACTGCAGTTGAGTCTCGCTTGTCTGGATTCGGCTCAGGAGTGAAGAAGCTATTCAGACAATTCTCGAGGGTAATACTCTTCTTCGTACCAAGTGCGCACTTTGTTTTTCTGCAGAAGTCGTCGTCAGGATCATTGACCGCCACATGCAGGTTTAGCGTGGGAGGTATCATTGTGTTGTTCAGCTTGAATGAACAGAAGAACTCCCTGAACGTCATCTGCAGTACACCAAATGCCCAGCTTGCCCAGCTTGGTAGCGGCACATCCTGTTGATCAGCCGGACGACGTCCTGAGGCACGGGTCATGATCAGGCTAGACTTTGTCAGTTTTACCGGTGCCTGCGCGAGATGACTGGGTAACCAGTACGTTGGGAAGTCCGCTCTCTCCAGTAGCACCAGCATAGTATGAGTGGCCTGATAGGCCTGGTAGACAAGATGCAACTGCAGCAGGGCGTTGTCAAGCCTGTTCAGATGGACAAGGTAAATCACTGACTTGTCCTGCCAATCAAGCAGTGCATACAGAGTGCTGCATGACGGCTGCATCAGGCGACGTAGCGACAACTCATCCAGCAGCTGGTGATGGGCCAGAAATGTCTCCATCAGGTGTTCACTGCCTAACACAGCAAACGACTTGATGCGTGTCTTCCACGTCCCATCATGTCGGACGGATAAATCCGACAGTGGTTTGTTGGGGCCATCATTATGGTCTGTGCCAAAGGAATCGCCAGTAGGGATATCAGTAGCAGCAGAGGTGTGTCTATCGGGAAACAAGGTATCTAGGATCGTCAAGAAGTCTGCTTTTTGTACGCTTTCCTTGACCACTTTCTTTGCCGACGCTTCGGTGTCACTGGTTTGCTCATCAGTGGAATTGTCTGTGAGTGCTCCTGTAAATGTTCGAACAGAATCGTTCAAGCCAGCAAGAGAAGTGTGCAGTAACTCGCGGTGTTCAGCTGCTGCCACTGCATGTTTGTTGCTGACGCTGTTAGCCATTGCATGTGCCTGGCTGCTTGGTCCTGTTACATGTTGCTTGGGTTTACTTGTTGACGCTTTGCTAGTAGTGCTTGATGGCTGATTTTCAGCTGTTGCCTTTTGTAAATCCGCTGTGGAGTGTACGGTAGGTGCACCACGCTGACTCTGAATCAAAGCAGACGATGTGGATGCTACGGCTGAGGTCAGAGCTGCTGCTGCTGCTGCCGTGGCCGCTGCTGCTGCAGCAGCTGTTGATCTGTCACCAATCTTGTCCCGAGGCTGAGAGTGGCCACTGATACCTTGTGTAGGATTGCTATGTGCAGGGTAGCTACGCCGACTGCTTGTACCTGATGGATATGATGGTTCTTCAGTACCAACAGCATCTTCATCAAAGACATCCAACTCTTCCACCTCCACGCCATCAGTGGCATGTTCAGAAGGGCTCCCTTTTGGATGGGCATGGCTTTTCCCAGTGGTAGGCTGATCACAGCGCAGAGTTGCAATCAAGAAGCTCCACGCCGCCGGGTTGCTGTGTACTCTAATGTTGTCATCAGCCAGCCTGGACTGAGGAAGGGTTGTTGCTTGCCTGGAGCGAGACGATGCTATCCAGGACAGTGGAATCAAAGTGCGGTGTGCGAGTCCTAATGGAACATAGTCACAGCAAGACAAGCAAACACCATCTTAGACATTTACCTACATGTAGCTAAGGTGATGGATACCCCACGGTTAAATCCTGATACATTGGATACAGGATGGAACTAGGCCTGACACTTCATACCTTGATTTCCCAGGAAATTCTGGACATTCTAATTTATCCATACGAAGCACAACATAATAATAGGTTGGATGACGGCTACACTATAGTTCAGTAGTTAGTGCATTGCTGACCTCAAGTGAAGGTCCCTGGTTCGATTCCTGATGGTGACAGTCAATTTTTTCTTCAGACTTTTCCCTTTTCCATTCCCTCAACTTAATAGGTGTGTAAAATGGCTCACAGCCTTTCTAGTAGTTGCATACATGTATATCAAGGAGACACACTCAAACAATAGCGTATATCAAGGAGACAGAAGTTCAGTGCTAAAGCGATGTGCTTGCGGGGAGTTGAAGCATGTAGATTCGACGCAGCACAAACACATTGTGGTAGGTCAAATCTACATGCCTCACCCCCCCCCCCCCTCCAACCAGCACATAGTGTTCACTCTCTTGGAATCGATTTCTAGATTCAATTCCATGTACTTAGCAATACATTTCTTTGATAGTACCACATGGCAACCTGATGCCTACCTGATTTCTTGAGGAGCTGCTGTGCTAGATGGAGGCATTGCTCGGTTCCTTGATACTCCAGTAGTGCTACTAGTTTGGCCACACCATGCTTGCCATGCTGTGCTAGAGCGGAGAGCAGCTTGAGATTCTTGGCAGGTACGCTCTCCTCACGGAATTCTTTAAGATGCCACCACTCATCCGGAGCAATAGTGCTATCCTCACGTGCCAGGCGGTTGAGAAGATCAAAATCCATCGCCTTGGACAGCCCAGGGAGATATCCATCGACGACCTACCAGAGCCCAATGGGCATCAGAAGGGGAAGTCACAGTAGAGTAGACAGAGGAGGAAATAGTGGGTAAGATCATTGTACACTTTCAAACATTATCATCTACATGTACTGTACTGGATGTTATGGCACTCTGCATCAGTTCTGCTGTAGTGCAAAGTCTAGTACAATATGGACATGGAGTGATGGTGTACTGCTCCACCATGGATGTCTGTGCTGCACTATACTGGAGTGATGGTGTACTGCTCCACCATGGATGTCTGTGCTGCACTATACTGGAGTGATGGTGTACTGCTCCACCATGGATGTCTGTGCTGCACTATACTGGAGTGATGGTGTACTGCTCCACCATGGATGTCTGTGCTGCACTATACTGGAGTGATGGTGTACTGCTCCACCATGGATGTCTGTGCTGCACTATACTGGAGTGATGGTGTACTGCTCCACCATGGATGTCTGTGCTGCACTATACTGGAGTGATGGTGTACTGCTCCACCATGGATGCCTGTGCTGCACTATACTGGAGTGATGGTGTACTGCTCCACCATGGATGTCTGTGCTGCACTATACTGGAGTGATGGTGTACTGCTCCACCATGGATGTCTGTGCTGCACTATACTGGAGTGATGGTGTACTGCTCCACCATGGATGTCTGTGCTGCACTATACTGGAGTGATGGTGTACTGCTCCACCATGGATGTCTGTGCTGCACTATACTGGAGTGATGGTGTACTGCTCCACCATGGATGTCTGTGCTGCACTATACTGGAGTGATGGTGTACTGCTCCACCATGGATGTCTGTGCTGCACTATACTGGAGTGATGGTGTACTGCTCCACCATGGATGTCTGTGCTGCACTATACTGGAGTGATGGTGTACTGCTCCACCATGGATGTCTGTGCTGCACTATACTGGAGTGATGGTGTACTGCTCCACCATGGATGTCTGTGCTGCACTATACTGGAGTGATGGTGTACTGCTCCACCATGGATGTCTGTGCTGCACTATACTGGAGTGATGGTGTACTGCTCCATCATGGATGTCTGTGCTGCACTATACTGGAGTGATGGTGTACTGCTCCACCATGGATGTCTGTGCTGCACTATACTGGAGTGATGGTGTACTGCTCCACCATGGATGTCTGTGCTGCACTAT